ACAAGAAGTAGACCAAACATCTGTTCCAACGTGGCAGTACTAATGCATTTTTTTTTCAGATTTTTTATAAAGGTGAAAAAAGGATGTTATCTGTTATTCTTTCGCTATACTGAACATTATGAATAATTTCCCATTTTGATCAAGACAAGACGCGTGAGTATATATGGATAAAGTTATATGTATACAAACTGGAATGTGTATGCGGAATGAAATGGTTGTGCGTACCCATCCTATACAGAAAGGTAAAGTGTCATATATCTTAACATGCAAAATGATCTCTATCGAATGGTTCTACATTTCTAGTCTCAGTAAATTCGGTTTTATCAATGATATAAAAAAAAAAAAAAAAACCTTATTTTTATTCCAAATAAGACATCCTCGGACTTCATGTTCATCTACACAGTCCTCTTAGCAACCACCAAAAAAAAAAATAACTGGCATGCAAAAACTCATACTCACAACTGAAGCAAAATTCAACAATAAATCACATAAAAAAAAAAAGAAGACGAAAAAAGAAAGAGAAGCTGAAAGCATACTCACAACAGCACTGGAATCTTCGTCGTTGTCCAGGCTATCTCCGTCAACAGCATCGCGATCAACGTCCGAGATACCTTCCATATCGGTGGGACGAGAATCGATGGTGTTGAGATCATGCAGAGAGCTCCCAATAAATGAACTGGCCGATCTTAAGTTGTAGTGCTGTACCGGAACCCTAGTCCCCATTTTCTTCCTCTTTTTCCAACACTTTATATAGATCTAAATTCACGCCCCAAATCAAAAGGCACAAAAAGGAAAATCAAAATTACTAGTGATGATCAGCCACTTTAGTTCACGAAAAAATCCTTTATGCTGTATTAGTTTTTGCCAGTGAGAGAGGCTTTAGGAGGAGACATTTCGAGCTGTTAAATTTTACACCCCCTTTTTCAAGTGAAGAAAAAAGCACAGAAGAAAAAGAAAAATAGTTAACGGCTATACATACTGAGAAGACGAAGGAGAAAGCAAGGAAGTACAGAAACCAAGCCTGAGAACGTACCTGAGCGATCGGACACAGAAAGAAGTTTCCCGAGCCTGAGTCCGAAGCCTGTAGGGTTTGACACCTATTCAAGCAGTGGCAGAGTCTCTTTACTTGCTATTTTGAATCTGCTTTTGTCTCCGATTTGGGCTCCGCCTGCCATGACAAACTCTGTTTATCAAATTTAATTTTAAAAATTCTGAATATGATAAATAAATATTTCTTAGGTACGGCACCAAGAGCAAATTACATATTGAATTTATTGTATTGCTAAAATTTTACTGAAAGTAGTATATTACCTTTTGATATTTACCAGCTGAAAATTGTGTTACTTATTTAATCATTTTATAATGTTAATATTTAGAATATCTTTACCATTTAAAAATTGAAAATCATACAATCTTCATTTAAAATATATATACATATTCTTATTCTCATACTTCTTTTATAGAGGAGTAAAAGTCACAAGTCATTATATTTATCTTTATTTTTATTTTATTTTTATTGGTCTTTGACTATAAAATTAGTGAAGCTATTATGTTTACAATTTAAAATGTATTTATATACACATCTGAGTTTTATATTAAATTTTAAAATAACTACTTGTAAAGTTGCTATTCTAAACCTCCTACCTCTAACACATCTGTTATCCTAACATTAAAAATGTTCTACTAGATACCCTATATAAAATTATAATTCAATAAACTTAAATATCTACTCAACAGAGTAGCCAATCTCTCATCAAACGTATTTGATACAGCTTTATAACGGCAACAAATATTATTTTATATAGTTACCGATTTTTAGGTCACCCATCAGGATTTACAAACTCTTTTATTTTTATAATTGTGTACCTTCGCGGCTTCATGAGCTACTTTATCAATTGCAGTACTTACACCATTTATTTAAGGTCCTAAAATTCACCTTCATATATCATGCATACTCCATAAAATTCTCATAAATACCCACATATCTTTACTAATAAGTAATATATCACTAATCTAATAAACTCTAGTGATAACATTTCTTTTTATAACTGTTAACTCAAGTATCAAATAACTATCTGAAGTACACTTCCAAGAATACACTAAGTAGTATTTATTTTATATATTGAGGATAAAGAAATTTTGTAATACTCGGGCCTTAAATTTGGCCAATGATTAATTTTTAAATTAAAAAATATATATAAATATAATTTTAAAATTTATAAATTTTTATTTAATGTGAAATTAGAAAAAAATATGTTGATGATGAAATTAAAAATAATTTTGAAAAAAAAAATGTGAAAATTTGGGTTCTGATGGTATTTTTGAAAGAAAAATCGAAAACTGGGAGTGAAAATGCAATTAAAGAAACTTGCGGCAAGTAGAACTACCCAGTCAGCAGCCCCGACCAACTGGAGTGCGTCGTATAGTAAGGCACGCTGACTTAGTGCCACGCAGGAGGCTACATTGGCAATCTGCGTGTCCGCGATTGGACGACCCACATACGTTCCCGTGCGTGTGGACGATCCAGATCCATTCCCTCCTCAGGGGTGACCGAATGGTCGTGATTAAATGCGATGAACGGTCTAGATTTATTTTCTCTTTAAATGCTATTGTACGATAGAGATCAAATCACAATGAACGATTTAGATTTATTTCTTATTTAAACGCGATGAACAACCTAGATTTAAGGGAGACGGATGTAAATATCTCGCATCACACTGAACTCAAACCCTACCTGCTAGCCTCCCACCAGAAAAGAAGAACCAGTCGCCGGAGAAGAGAGCCGATCGTCGCCTGCCGTCGCGCCGGAGTCACCTCTGACTGCCAAAAAAGGTAAAAATTCTCATATCCGCTCGAAATTTGATTCTAAGCACCCCTATAGCCATATTGGAGGAAACAAAATGGTATATAAGCTAAAAACCGTGGGTAAAGCCCAGTGGCGCCACCACAGGAAAAACTCAAAACTGCCTCCGATTAACCCTTTTCCGTTTCTCGTTTGGTACAATTTTTCTACAATTGTGTTCACCGTTATGTCTTCTACAGGTTGACTGAAGAAAAATGTTCAATCGCGAAGGTGAGTTGGCAGAGCTGTTGCACCAGAAAATTTCACCACCGGTAGGTTTTTATTTTTTGACTTTTTTCGGCTAACCGATGCCTTCTAATATGTTTTCTCGCCGGGATTGGTATAAAATCAGTCGAAACTGGCCGAAACTAGCCGAAAACGGCTAGGCCGAGATAAACCGCCGCTGCGGGCGGCGGTGCAGCCATGTCAGAAATTTAAAATTGGTCGGAAAAGGTTTTTAACACCGATTTTAGATTTTTTAGGGTATTTTTAGGCACGTGAAGGATGTTTTAATCTTCACATAAAAATTCAAGAAACTCAGGGACCGCTAGTAGCGCAACTGAAAGTTATGTATTTCGGACATCAATTCGGCTAAGAATCCTTCATCTTATTCTTTATTATGAAATAGAAGTTTAATTATCAATAATATGGTATTTTGTGTAATTTAAAAAATTTTGAGAATTAATTATATGTTACTAATAGAGAGAGAATCAGTTATTTATTATTGTTTATCATGTTTATCCGATTGTTTGATGTAGCTTTAAATGCATGATAATATACTGGAATTGATAAAATGATTCAGTTCTATTTCCTTAATGCATGTATTGTTTGTCTTGCGTTGATTTACGATTAAATTGTGAAACTGAAAATTAAATATAAATGGAGAAATGATTGGTTAAGTGAATGAATAAATAGTAGTCTTATTGGATATCCTGAAAGATGGTAGACGGACCGGGTACATAGGGAACCTTACTGTGAATATCGCCTCATATCGGACGGAGTATCGAGGATTGGTATTTTTGGCGTTCATACTGGACGGGATATGGGGATGACCCGTTTCACCCTCATACCAGATGAGGCATTGAGGGATGATATTCTTGGCGCTCATACCAGATGAGGTATGGGGACGACCGGTTAGTTGACAATGTTGAATTATTGTTCACGCATAGTGGGTCATCCCTTTGGGCCCCAAGGATACCAGTAAGCAAATAAAGATGAAAAGTTACTATTTTTACTTACTTAAATATGATATTATGATATTGTTGAGTTATTGTCTCTATAGGTCGGTTTTTAAAATCTCGCAATGGTAAGTATGCAGTAAATGATTTTACTTATGATAAATAAATTTACTTAAATTAAAAGCTCAATTAGTTATTTTTATAATTTTTACCAACCTTCAGTTTCTGTATCGGTGAGTAATGTGATATCCTTATTGGGTTAGTGTAGTTCACTCCTTCGTTTAACTTTTCAGATCAAGAGGACCAAGATTCAGATCCCAATTAACAAGGGAATTATGAATAATTTACCACCCAGACTCCTTCAAAAGTTAGCGGAGGTCGTCCTAGGATGTTCAGTTGTTTACTTTTCGTTTATTTCTTTAATTTTTAT